CAAGCATTTCTCAGCGATGAAAGCATTGGTCAATGGTTGCTGGTATTAGACAATGCGGACGATATAGATCTGTGGACATCCCCCCTTACCGCTGAAGCAGGCGGTAAGCGATTGCTGGATTACATGCCCCAAAGCAAGCATGGGGCTATTATTTGGACGACACGTGATCGCAAGGTGGCCACAACGGTTGCTCGAGAGAATATAGTACCGGTACCGGAGATGGATGAGTCAGGGGCCTCAGAGATCATGCGGAAGTATCTGGCGATTTCTGCTTTAACTAAAGATGATGAATCTTCTTTGTCAACTTTGCTGCAGGAGCTTACCTATCTTCCACTGGCAATTGCTCAAGCCGCGGCATATATCAACGAGATGGAAATATCCCTTACAGAGTATAACAAACTGTTATACGACCAGGACGAACATGTGATTGAGCTCCTGAGTGAAGAATTTGAAGATGGCGGCAGATATCACGATATTGAGAATGCAGTGGCCAAGACATGGCTTATTTCGTTCGAACAAATCCGTCGGCGCAGTTCTCTTGCATTTGAATATCTGGCATTTATGGCCTGTGTGGACCCGAAGAATATCCCTCAGTCACTCTTGCCAGATTATGAGGAATTATCGCGGAAGAAGAAGACTGACGCGATCGGGATCCTGCACGCATTTTCATTGATCGCAAAACGTACAGATGGATTGGCATTTGACATGCATCGTCTGGTCCATCTGGCCACGCGAGGGTGGCTTAGAAGAGGCAAACAACTGTCTGATTGGGACCGAAACGCAGTCCTACGACTCAGTGACTTATTGTCAGATGTCAGTCAGACGAATCGAACATTGTGGCGGGTTTATATACCGCATGCACAGTACGCTATGAATAGAAAGAATAATAGCCATAAGGATGTCATCGACCTTGCACAGAACTGTGGGCTCTGCTTGTATTACGACGGACGATACTTTGAAGCAGAGGAAATGTATCAAAATGTTCTTACTTGGCAGGAGAAGGTGCTGGGGCCCGAGCATCCAGACACACTCACCATCGTCAACAACCTTGGTCGTATCCTTCACGGACAGGGCAGGTATAGAGAGGCAGAGACTATGCACCGACGAGCATTACAAGGCGGAGAAAAGGTGCTGGGGCTCGAGCATCCAGACACCCTCACCAGCGTTAATAACCTTGGTCTAGTTCTTTCCGGCCAGGGCAGGTACGAAGAGGCAGAGACTATG